TGAGTGATTTTGTATTGTATTCGAGAAAGAAGTGCACAACCAAGAAATGAAAAAAAAAAACATGGAACATATGCATACATTCCGTAAGGCCAAAGTGGCAATTCCGGAGAACTTCGAGATTAGGGCGTAATTGCTTTTGAAAACAAACACTTCATTTGACGATTTCTCGCGAATTAAAGCTCAATCCTAAGCTCAATCAAAAAACTGACAACACAAACAGGTAGATGAATGGTTCCCCTATAATTTGGTATAGTTTGTTCACGAGATTGTTCTTTTATTCGCGAGAAATCAGCGATTGACATGTTTGTTTACAAAAACAACTACGCCCAAATCTCAAAGTTCTCCGGATTTGTATTCATAGGATAACTGTCTATATTCCATTCTATATATTTGTGTTGAAAATAAACGTATTTGTTTTTGTTTGGTTTGACAACTATGCGAACAAAATAAACATATTTTGAAATTATTTTAGTATTTGAGTCCAGGGTAAAGCAAAATAAATCGGATTGCAAACAAATGAAAATAAAAAAAAAAGATCTTCGGGCAGGGCATCTAAATCCCTGCTTATTTTGGGGTGCGATTAAGGGTGAGCTGTGTGGGGATCCGTCGGGGTGAAGTTGATACAGTGGGGTTCCGATTTTGAGAATGTACAGCACTGATCACCAATACTAAAACAAGAACTAGAAACTAGAAACTTCGACACCAATTCTATCTTATGTTTAAAATTTGCCTCTCAGTCATAGAATGGTTCACTTCACCCTCGATGGCCTCGACCTCAACTACAGCATTCAAATCTTGTGAGGCGGCTTCGTTTTCCACAGGAAAATTATGAATTAATCGATTCAGACTCCACCTGATTTAAACAACGCTAGACCATCAATTGAAATAGGCGGGACAACAAAATGTAAACAATGGCTTTAAACATAAATTTTTCGAAAATCAAAGCACATCCAAACAATCTAACGCCATCATCTGATAGAGTAAGCTTCCTTTATCAAATGGAAATTTTAGTTTACGTGGTAGTGTTTTGATTCTCAAGAAGTTTGTGTTTAAAGCCATTGCTTACGTTTGGTTGTTCTGCCTATTTCAATTGTTGGTCCAAAAAGATTTCCGAGCTACTGTGTGGGGGGAGGTGGCTGTCAAATACGATAATACGAATAATCGTCGCCTACCTCGCATAACTGGCTCCAAACGTAAACAAGCCATAAGAAACCTACAGCGTTTGTTTACGTTTGGAACCAGTTTCATACAAGAATGATCAGTAGGCTGATTTGACAGCACGTTCTCCCCCCCCCCCCCAAGTTAAAAGGCCACAGGAGAATACGAAGACATCACCAAGGGATAATCCATAAACGGAGTAATTAGTGCTTTTACTAGTTTTTCCCTCGTACATTCTAAGTCAGAAATATAATTTCGTTTATTCACTCATAATCTCATAAAGCACTTAGCGGAAAAAAAAACGATCAAAGCTTTTGTGACTGAGTTTGAGTAACCCAAAAAGTGGTCCCCGAGTTAAAAAAAAAACACATCAATCCCTCAAAATGTTACGTTCTCTGGGAATGATCCTATAGTCCATTGTATGTATTGTTGTGTATCATAATATTGAATGGAAGAAGCGTGCATAAATCATAGGCCGTGCGTGCTCTCTCCGAATGCATAACGAAGCTCTATATTTACGGTTTCACCGAGTTCCCGAAGTTCAAAATGTTGTTTGGTGAGCAGAGCCGATGTAAATCACGCCTCACTCAAGAACGAACCCCGCATCCCTCATCGTGATGCGTGTTTGTGGAAGTCCATCTTGAGCGTCAATCTGAGCTCGAGCTCTTTTATGCTCTTTGGATTTGACACGATTGCTCTTTATATGTGAGGGATGAACTAGCTCACGATGAATGAGCATCTATACGGCATAATCTGAGTTCGAGGAGTTAAGGCAAGCCTGAGTATTTGTATTTGCCGGAGATGCCTATATTTAGGAGTATTTTACACTTTTCCCAAATACCGGAAGTTGACATCTTCCGAAAGTTCACCAAATGATCCCTAGGGTTCTTTTTCTGGTCACAAGTCAGAATTCTTTGTATTGAGCCCTGTATATGTGCTTTCTAAGAAAACGCTGAGTTCTTTTATGAATTGATCACTTTTTCGGTTGGTTTGGACCGTCTGAAAAATTATCCCTCAGGGTCCATTTTCCAGTAGCAAGTCCAACTTAATTCTAATGAGTCTTCTAGAAGTCCTTTGGAAAAAAAAACTGCAGATATTGAGAACCTATTTTATGAATTGAACACTTTAAAGATTGTTCCTAATGTGACCTTCCACACCCCGTGGCCTCCAGTGTTCACTTTCTGGTCACAAGTCTGAATTCATTATATCACGTCTTCTATAAGTGCTTTCGAAAAACCCGAAGAGCTGTAGGAACAATTTACGGTTATTCTGGATTTCCCAAAAGCCCAGGGACCATTTTTCAGTCACAAGACCGAATTTATTCTAATGAGTCTTCTAGGAGTACTTAAAAAAACGGCTGAGATCTAGGACCAAGTGAATGAATTGACCACTTTTACTAATGTTCCTGATTACCCAGGTTCCGGTCACAAGTCCGAATGCATATAATTAGTCTTCTAAAAGTGCTTTTAGGACTAATTTTATAAAGTTACCACTTTTACAGCTGCTCCTGATCTTTCAGAAGGTCATCATGTAGCCCCATGGGTCAATTTTTCGATCACAAGCCCAAATTCATTCTTATGAGTCTTCTAAAAGTGCTCTCGAAATAACCTCAGAGCTCAAGGCCTAGTTTTATTAATTGACCACTTTCACTGTTGTTCGGTATTTTCCGAAAGTTAACTCCGTAACCCCCGGCTCCATTTTCCGGTCAGAAGTCCACATTAATTTTAACGAGTCGTTCTTTATGTGCTTTCTAAAAAAACCGCAGAACTCTAAGACCAGTTTCATTAATTGACTGAAATTTTACCTAATCATTTTTTTTTCCTACACGGAAACAAATCCGATTCCATTTTCATGAATCAAAAATCATGAAATGAAAAAAACTTGCCATCCCATGAAATCGTAACAATGATTCATGATTTCGTCATGGAAATTCATGGTGTCATAATGCAGTGGAATCAAGACCGCTACAAGCGTTACACGTACTTGGCAAACCGTGTTCATAAACCGCACTACATAGGTATGTCTTATACGCCTTTTGTCTTCCATCTTTTACAAGTACTGATAGTCTAGTGGTCAAAAAATGGGTTTAACGATCTCAAGGTTGTTGGTTCGAATCCATTCTGATGCTTTATTTTATTATTTTTACATTTTTTGGTTAAAAGTTAAACCCATAAATTTAGATCATGATTTCAACTCGGATGATTCATGATTTTGGGATGTTTGCTACGTTACGCAAAAGTTGCTCATGATATCATAAATATTATCAATATGAAATCATGAGTAATTTTTTTCATTTCGGAGATCGGATTTTTTTCCCGTGTAGACGGTTTTGCTCTACACCCGAAGTTTTCCAAATAGGATTGTTTGAATAAATTGTGTGCCAAAACAAATACGCCCTTGTGAAAAATTACGCTTGTGCAAAGTTTCATCCAAATTGAAGATTCTTTGCGCATGATATCAGCTTTCCTCCATAGAGATCTCAAAGCGCAATCTCACGTACACTAAAATCAAACATCCATATATAAAAATGAAGAAGAAGAAGCACCAAAAAGGTATCGCGATATCACTTAAAAAGGTAGCGCGTGGTCTCACGCACACTTTTGTGCATCTGGAGAACTCTATGCTGAGTGAACCCCCACACAACGTGACTGTCTCGCGCAGACAGCAGCAGGCGGCAGTTTACTGCGAATATATCATGGGGTAAGTCACTCAGCACATTGTGCCGAAATTAGATTCGGCACACCTTCGGCAGAATCTCGTAGGCATTGGATTGTCGTAAATAAAATATGAGCACTGCTACCTGTTGTTTGACTGTATATTCAGGAACATCCTCTAATTGAATATCCCAGAGGAATTCAGACTAGCAATTCACTTATAGATCTAAATACGAAATGTAGATTCTAGCGTGGGCTCAACAGATAGAGGCAGATAATCAGACCCCATTAGTACCCTTAATTCAAATACTGTGTCAGAAATACCGGGTTGCTGGGATGGGTATTTTAAAAACAATCGCAGCTTGCTCTATGACCAGCACAATCGGTCACAAAGTTGTTATGAATGTCGAATGAAAGCTGAGTGATGGAAACCAATATAGGCGAAATGTCTCTAATGTTGGCCTATGGATCTAAGATTGGGCCCATTGCTAAAAATCTGCTATTTATCAATTTTATCTAGATGAACGCGTTATTGGGACGTTACTTATGGATATTTTTGGTTGCTATTGAAAATTTAGTCGATTGCTGAATTTATGTATGGGCCCAAATTAGGGACACTTAGGCCGACATTACCTGCATTTCCCCTATCTTGTATAAAGGTGTATAAACATAAATCAATTAAATGTGTGTGTGTTGAATGCTTTTGAGAGCGAACGGTATTCGTTGAGGGACAATGTTCTAATTGTGTTCCGACTAAAATTGATCGGCAAGCGCACGAATAAGCACGTTTGTGTGTATGCGAATAAGGACCTAAGATAATGGGATGAGATTGTAATTGTGTGCCGACAAGAAACGGGTTGTTAAGAGTTTTGTTAGAGATGTGCGTGAGAGATATTGAAAATGCGAGCTAGAAAAATTCGAGTGTGGCTGAGGTCTGCATTCAGAAAACTAATAAAAAATTAATAAATAATAAAAATGGTCGGTAAAAATAAAGTCGGTCACCACAACATTAAAAAAAAGACCCAAATGTTCATCAAAAAATTATAAACAAAAACTTTTTTAACTTTACGACTTTTTGAACTTATTTTTTTTTTATTTAAAGATTCAATGAAAAAGAACCATCAAAGTTTAACATAAATTTAAAATATTTTCAAAACTGCAACATTTCAAGAGAATCTCAGATGTCAATTTAAAATTGAATGAATTGAATACATAAACTGCAATTACCTATTCCCTTGCATGTTAGCTTATCCCTATTATACTTTCAACGGTATCACAATCGCCCGCAATCACTTCGTTTCATCATTTGTGCCTTTTTCTCTTAGTCCTGTACAAGCATTGCATAGAAGTTTTCAAATTTCATCCTATACTATCAACATTTGATATATTATATATATTATACAAAAGGTGCCCTACAATAGTTGCCTTCATTTGGTGCTGTTGGTGGAGATTGTTGACTGTTTGTTCAGCTTGAGAGTAACAAGATTTGTGGTGAGAGTGCTGCTAGGAAAAATCGATTAACAATTATTTGAAAAAGAGATTTGAGGAAGAAGAGAAATAGGCCATGAACATTTATAACAATATTTGAATAATGACAATACAGCTGGATCGATTCCATTTAACCTCAAACAAGCGAATCCAATTTATAATTGGTGTTTATAAACTCAACTGGTTAAAATAAAACAATTCAACCATCACCACGGTTGGTTTTGTAACCACTATTCAAAGGATATAAGATATACATATATGCTATGCGTAAATGTTTAAAAATCTTCATATCAATCCATCGCTGTTCTTCCTTTGTTCGTTTGTTTTGTCTCTGGCGCTGGGGTGATCGTACTTCTAGTACGAACTGGTATTGGAGGATGCCATCCGGATCCGAGCGGTTGCACGTGACTTGTTGTGCACTTCCGCCGTACGCAGGGTGATTCCGAAAATGTCTTCGTGGTAGCGATTCTCGTCCTGTGGGAGAGGATAAGACAATTGTTAAAGTAATACCTCTGCCAGATTGCCAGCCTTCCCATCAGCTGATGTAACATCAACGACCTTTTATTAGCTTACGGTTTCGCTGTTTAGTATGCCTTCCTCAACCAGATCCCCCAACACCCAACTCAGGAGTGGAAGAATCACTAGAATAAATCTAAGGACGACCCCCTACCCCGGCGGTACATGATGTCGGAAAGCCATAAAACCAATTTATCGGTGTAACGATCGATTGTGTTCCGCTGAACGGCATATCCGTAAACGATATTTGTTAAGGTTTGCTATTGTTGCTCTTTCCTTCATTTTAATGCATAAACAAATTCGAATCCCAACAGACGCCGTCGGTCAACGGGCCCTGCTGCCACCGCCGCCGCCAATCGCCCGTGAATCGGATCGCTTTCGGTAATTAAACTTGAAATTCCATACGTGACTGCGATCGAGAACTGATTGTTTTGTCGACACTAGGTACATCTAGGGAAGATGGGGGGGAAGATTCAACCATGTGAAATGGAAAGGAGGTGAAGGGAGACTGTGAATCAACCCCCGAAGCGATCACGTTGAGAGTCTTGTGTGCATGGTGGAAAACTCCGCGCGTGCGATCTCCCGCCTGTTGCTACTTTATGCTTGCAAAGCGTTCTTATCAGGCGTCGCCTGGTGGTGCGATCGGTGCGAATGCCCTACGGTACTAGGCTCAGACGAGCTGCGTGGCGTCTTCGTTGTTCAATCAGGTGAAGAACACTGTGTTTTAATAATTCGGTATTCATGAAAGCGTTGTCGGTAAGCATTGACTGAGATAGGCCAGGAGAGTCGAGAATATTTCTATTATGACGCGAATTTTCATGGAATTCTCAGAAGAATAACGAAATTTTCAGTCTCGGAGCACTTAATTTTACATGACATGTTTGTTTACGTCTCATCCTTTTTGTCAAAGATGGATTCCGTCACGTGTAAAATTATGTATTTATAAGTGTGTAAGTAGGGAGCTGCGAGTCGCGAGCCAAAGGATTTCAGACCAATCTCTTTGACATGCTGTGTCAGCAAGGTGCTGGAGCACTGGGACCTATTTCGCCACACTTAATCAGGTACTTCGGGACGCGAGGGATGCCGACCAGCAGGTGGTGCTAGCCACTTTAGACATCGCCAAGGCATACAATCGGAAATGGACGCCTGACATCCTTGTCCAACTTGCGGAATGGAGTCTGTCCGGTCACATTATCCATTTTCTGAAGTATTTTCTCCAACATCGTACTTGTCAAGTATGTATTGGCAACCATAGATCCAGAGGTTTCCCGGAGGAGACTGGCGTCCCACAAGGCTCTGTGATTGCAGTCACGCTGTTTTTAATACGGATGAACGGAGTTTTCAACAATCCTCCCAAGGAAATATACATGTTTGTGTATGCAGACGACATCGTCTTGGTAGTAGTTGGCAGCACCGTGAAGGCTATCCGCAGAAAATTAAAAGCAGTCACGAACGCTGTCTTACGGTTGACTAAATCCGCTGGATAGCCGCCACCGGTGGTGTAGTGGTAAGCGTGACTGCTTTCTCACCCAATGGGTCTGGGTTCAATCCCAGTCGAGGTCGGTGGGATTTTTCTGAGGCATAAAAATCTCTGGTCACGTCTTCCTTGGGAAGGGAAGTAAAGCCGTTGGTCCCGGCCCGTGTGTGTTGAAAATGGGTGCGATATCCTACGCAGGTGTGGAAGCTGCCTTCCTGCACATTCGATTGCCGTCAATGGATGGCAATCGATGTCCGTCGGTGATTGGCACTAGATTGCGGAACAGAGACCGACGTTAAATAAAGGATCCGCTGGATTCCACCTTTCGGTAAAAAAAATGTGCTTATACTCACATCTGTCCGATGAACCACCATGTACTCCGCTCTTCAATCACCATTGATGAAAGAATCATGCCCTTCAAGAGGTCTATCCGCATCCTTGGCCTACGACTCGATAGGCCGCTAAACTTTGTCGACCACTTTAATGAGGTGAAAAAGAGCTGCCAGACAAGGATTGATTTACTCCTAACACTGGCCAAAAGACACTTAATGAACAACCGTGCTCCCAACTAACAATTTTCATTTCACAATGTAAACGCTTTACTCATTTCATTTATACAGTCTCAAGCTGTATTCAAACGTTATACGATATGAGGAAACCTTTACACAATCTCTATACAAACAAATCTGGCGAACTTAGTCAGCTACTTATGGCTGTTGGAACGGTCGGGAGAAGCTCTTATTGCATTTCCATTAACGCTTCTATACAGCTGTTATCCTGCTGTTTAGTTGTGTGTGAACTTGAAAGGCGCTTATTCAACCTTTTCCCGGTTATCCAATAATCACTACACAGTTTTCTCTTGAAGCCGAGTTAAATACTGTTTACGCTTTTTTATGAAGGAATTTATTGAGTTTATTTTGCTGTGAATCAAATTAATCGAAATTAGTTACAAATCATCACCAAATTATTTACCCTGTACCGGAACCTAGAATCGAACTCGAGACGACCTCATTGGCAAACCTTGACACTACCAACTGTGCTACGCCAACACTTTGAACTTATGTAAACAAATCAACATTCCCTTCTACAACAAAATCGCTGAGTAGAGGCTTTATAATAGTACACATGAATCAATTTTCTCGACTAGTTATAAAAGAGCAGAGTAAAAGCTGTAAAACTGCACACGTCTAAAAATAAACCTAGTTGACTGTGAAAATGGTTCCGAATTCGCTCTAACACAGTTTATAAGCTGAGTACAGGTTGTTTAGTTGTTGAAAAAGCACTTTTGATGTTTATGTTATTCAGCAAGAGTGGTTGGTTGTGGAGAAGCCATCAAATGAGTAATATATTCACTTTGTTAGCTTTGTTTTGCAGCTACAAGTTGAAAGTTGGGTAGTGTGTGTATAGAAGTGTCATTAGCGTTTATTGGCTGATGTTATTCAGTGCGACTGACAAATTGAATAATGGTTGTGAGAAAGTTGAGTAAACGCTAACCAAAACTATTTTGCTAGCTTTTGCTTGTAGCTGTATCTGCAGCTTCTTTTCAGCTACTTTACAGCACAACGCTGGAAAAGTTGGCTTACAAAGCTGAAAATGTTAGTTGGGCTATTCGTATGCGTGTAGCAAAAGCGGTAGTTGATTCCAGACTGACCTGCGGCTTAGAATTGACTTGCCTGGCTGCTGATAGGTTGATTTCTAAACTGGCTCCAGTGTATTATCAGGCCATTAGGACCACATCAGGTCTCCTCCCATCCACCCCCAGGTTGGCAGCCTGCGTGGAGAGTGGAAGGCTACCTTTTGAAAAGTACATAGTTGCATCTGTTTGCAAGAAAGCGATTGGCTTTGCAGAAAAGACTACAAAGACAAGTGACAGAGAGTCCCTCCTCATGGAGGCGAACGATCTCCTGAATAATACCGCAAACCTGGAGCTCCCCCCTGTAGCCAGGGTTCACTGGTGTGGAGCCAATGGTTGGAACTCATCCGGTCTGTCCATCGATCGAACAGCTTCCGGGCGGGAACCAACTCCCCTGCGCTAGTGAGAACAGTAGCCAAATTACATCGAACCAAATACAACAATCATCAAGTACGAAACACCAACGGATCCAGAAGTGGCGGTAGAGTTGGTATTGGAATTTACGATCCGGCGCTGTGCACCTTTCACCGACTACAAGACTGATGCAGCGTTTTCACTGCTGAAGCAGCCGTCATTCTCGTAGCTGCCACCCTGCCCTCCAATAAACCGATCGTCATATTCTCCGATTCTGCCAGTGTTTTAGCACCTCTTCAGTCTGAAACAGCTAAACACCCCTGGATCCAGGGTATCCAGCAGTTCGCTCCTAAGGAAACAACCTTTGTCTGGGTCCCCGGACACTGTGGGATCAGAGATAAGGAGAAAGTTGACCACCTGGCGGCATCCGGAAGACAGTCTAACTTTTACACCAGAAAGGTCCCGGCCCAGGACATAAAGCGGTGGATCACAATCACTATATGGAACTGCTGGACTAACGAATGGATGCGATCTCGAGACTTATTTATCCGGTAGGGATGCCAGGAATGGGAGGATCCACCTGAACACCGTCTCAAGTCATTCTATCCCGGTTGAGAACCGGCCATACTAAAGTCTCCCACAACATGGGAGGCGGAGGCGGATTCAGACGACAGTGCGATACGTGCAATGTTCCACTTACAGTGGAGCATTTCTTATGTGAATGCCCCCAGTACCACGGGCCCGGTCCCTTTACGGGATCTCAGGCAGCATCAGGGATACCCTGAGGGATGACCCATCGAGTATCGCTGCACTTTTCTGCTTCCTTCAGGAGGCAGGTCTGATTAACCAAATTTGATCTATGAACACCCAAGCAACGACAACGGACAATGATCCGGACCAAAACCTATACCTCGGCAACAAATACTGACTCGGACACGGATGAACGAAGATATCGAACCAAGCAAAGCACATACAAGGACACGGAAATGGACGAATGACGGCACTAAAATTAAACACAGCGACTACAAAGGAACAGGACACTTGACCACAATTATTCAAAAGGACAGTAACATCGGTAGCATTAAAGGAAAATTCCCATCTCTGAAATATTAAAACTCTGTTATTATGTGAGCCTCGCGCGCGGAATACAGGTATAAATGACTAATACGTGGAAATTGTGGCAAAAGCCTTGAATTAGTAAAGGGTTGGCTGGAAGTCGTTTCCTTGGATATAGTCCTGGCACTGCGGAAGCTTAAACGTGTAAATCCCAGGTCACGTGTAAATGGAAGTATTGTCGAGGACTATACTTGGACTTTTGATAACTAGTTACACCTTTGAATGTTTTTGGTTGATGCCTATAGCATATTTAACAGGACATTTATATCTGTAATTGTAACCAGCTCGATTTTGTTTGCAAACCTGGTTAAAATGTTAATATTTAATTATCTTAAAGATAACTCGTCCAGCTCAAACCTTTGTAGGGGTAAGAGGTGG